CAGGAAAAGAGGGACTATAAATGCATTAATTCAAGGATTATGTGGAGTAAAATAAAGATTGGATGTGAAAAGTGGGTTATAATAAGCGTGTATGCACCTGGAGAAGAGAGAAGTGTAGAGGAGAGAGAGAGATTTTGGGAAATGTTGAGTGAATGCGTGGGGAGTTTCGAAGCAAGTGTGAGAGTAATGGTGGTTGGGGATTTCAACGCTAAAGTGGGTAAGAATGTTATGGAGGGAGTAGTAGGTAAATTTGGGGTGCCAGGGGTAAATGTAAATGGGGAGCCTTTAATTGAGCTATGTGTAGAAAGAGATTTGGTAATAAGTAATACATATTTTATGAAAAAGAGGATAAATATACAAGGTATGATGTAGCACGTAATGAAAGTAGTTTATTAGATTATGTATTGGTGGATAAAAGGTTGATGGGTAGGCTCCAGGATGTACATGTTTATAGAGGGGCAACTGATATATCGGATCATTATTTAGTTGTAGCTACAGTTAGAGTAAGAGGTAGATGGGAAAAGAGGAAGGTGGCAACAACAAGTAAGAGGGAAGTGAAAGTGTATAAACTAAGGGAGGAGGAAGTTCGGGTGAGATATAAGCGACTATTGGCAGAAAGGTGGGCTAGTGCAAAGATGAGTAGTGGGGGGGTTGAAGAGGGTTGGAATAGTTTTAAAAATGCAGTATTAGAATGTGGGGCAGAAGTTTGTGGTTATAGGAGGGTGGGGGCAGGAGGAAAGAGGAGTGATTGGTGGAATGATGAAGTAAAGGGTGTGATAAAAGAGAAAAAGGTAGCTTATGAGAGGTTTTTACAAAGCAGAAGTGTTATAAGAAGAGCAGAGTACGTATATGGAGAGTAAAAGAAAGGTAAAGAGAGTGGTGAGAGAGTGCAAAAGGAGAGTAGATGATAGAGTGGGAGAGGCACTGTCAAGAAATTTTAATGAAAATAAGAAAAAATTTTGGAGTGAGTTAAACAAGTTAAGAAAGCCTAGGGAAAGTATGGATTTGTCAGTTAAAAACAGAGTAGGGGAGTTAGTAGATGGGGAGATGGAGGTATTAGGTAGATGGCGAGAATATTTTGAGGAACTTTTAAATGTTAAGGAAGAAACAGAGGCAGTAATTTCATGCACTGGTCAGGGAGGTATACCATCTTTTAGGAGTGAAGAAGAGCAGAATGTAAGTGTGGGGGAGGTACGTGAGGCATTACGTAAAATGAAAGGGAGTAAAGCAGCTGGAACTGATGGGATCATGACAGAAATGTTAAAAGCAGGGGGGGGATATAGTGTTGGAGTGGTTGGTACTTTTGTTTAATAAATGTATGAAAGAGGGGAAGGTACCTAGGGATTGGCGGAGAGCATGTATAGTCTTTATATAAAGGGAAAGGGGACAAAAGAGACTGTAAAAATTATAGAGGAATAAGTTTACTGAGTATACCAGGAAAAGTGTACAGTAGGGTTATATTTGAAAGAATTAGAGGTAAGATAGAATGTAGGATTGCGGATGAGCAAGGAGGTTTCAGAGTGGGTAGGGGATGTATAGATCAAATGTTTACATTGAAGCATATATGTGAACAGTATTTAGATAAAGGTAGGGAAGTTTTTATTGCATTTATGGATTTAGAAAAGGCATATGATAGAGTGGATAGAGGAGCAATGTGGCAGATGTTGCAAGTATATGGAATAGGTGGTAAGTTATTAAATGCTGTAAAGAGTTTTTATGAGGATAGTGAGGCTCAGGTTAGGGTGTGTAGAAGAGAGGGAGACTACTTCCCGGTAAAAGTAGGTCTTAGACAGGGATGTGTAATGTCACCATGGTTGTTAAATATATTTATAGATGGGGTTGTAAAGGAAGTAAATGCTAGGTGTTCGGGAGAGGGGTGGGATTAAATTTTGGGGAATCAAATTCAAAATGGGAATTGACACAGTTACTTTTTGCTGATGATACTGTGCTTATGGGAGATTCTAAAGAAAAATTGCAAAGGTTAGTGGATGAGTTTGGGAATGTGTGTACAGGTAGAAAGTTGAAAGTGAACATAAAAAAAGAGTAAGGTGATGAGGGTGTCAAATGATTTAGATAAAGAAAAATTGGATATCAAATTGGGAGGGAGTATGGAAGAAGTGAATGTTTTCAGATACTTGGGAGTTGACGTGTCGGCGAATGGATTTATGAAGGATGAGGTTAATCATAGAATTGATGAGGGAAAAAGGTGAGTGGTGCGTTGAGGTATATGTGGAGTCAAAAAACGTTATCTATGGAGGCAAAGAAGGGAATGTATGAAAGTATAGTAGTACCAACACTCTTATATGGGTGTGAAGCTTGGGTGGTAAATGCAGCAGCGAGGAGACGGTTGGGGGCAGTGGAGATGTCCTGTTTAAGGGCAATGTGTGGTGTAAATATTATGCAGAAAATTCGGAGTGTGGAAATTAGGAGAAGGTGTGGAGTTAATAAAAGTATTAGTCAGAGGGCAGAAGAGGGGTTGTTGAGGTGGTTTGGTCATTTAGAGAGAATAGATCAAAGTAGAATGACATGGAAAGCATATAAATCTATAGGGAAGGAAGGCGGGGTAGGGGTCGTCCTCGAAAGGGTTGGAGAGAGGGGGTAAAGGAGGTTTTGTGGGCAAGGGACTTGGACTTCCAGCAAGCGTGCGTGAGCATTTAGATAGGAGTGAATGGAGACGAATGGTACTTGGGACCTGACGATCTGTTGGAGTGTGAGCAGGGTAATATTTAGTGAAGGATTCAGGGAAACCGGTTATTTTCATATAGTCGGACTTGAGTCCTGGAAATGGGAAGTACAGTGCCTGCACTTTAAAGGAGGGGTTTGGGATATTGGCAGTTTGGAGGGATATGTTGTGTATCTTTATATGTGTATGCTTCTAAACTGTTGTATTCTGAGCACCTCTGCAAAAACAGTGATAATGTGCGAGTGTGGTGAAAGTGTTGAATGATGATGAAAGTATTTTCTTTTTGGGGATTTTCTTTCTTTTTTGGATCACCCTGCCTCGGTGGGAGACGGCCGACTTGTTGAAAAAAAAAAAAAATGTTATAAATAATAATAGTACATGTTATTATTAATAACATGTATTATTAATAACATGTATTATTATTAACATGTATGTATTTAATAACATATATGTTATAAATAATAATAGTACATATTATTAATAACATGTATTATTATTAACATGTATGTTATTAAATAACATTGCCTCAATCACTGCCTCTACCACTCCAGTCACACTCAATCTACAAGCACCAAACACAATGAATTATTGTGAAATGTTTGGAAGAGCAGGGAGACTAATGTTCACTCCAGCATAAACAAAATCACACTGACGATGTGTCAACCACTCCCTCGTATTTTTGTACAATTTCCTTCTTCAATTATATCATATTTATTATTATTATTATTATTATTATTTTATTTTTTTTTTTTCAACAAGTCGGCCGTCTCCCACCGAGGCAGGGTGACCCAAAAAAGAAAGAAAATCCCCAAAAAAAAAATACTTTCATCATCATTCAACACTTTCACCACACTCACACATTATCACTGTTTTTGCAGAGGTGCTCAGAATACAACAGTTTAGAAGCATATACGTATAAAGATACACAACATATCCCTCCAAACTGCCAATATTATTATTATATTATTATTATTATTATTATTATCATTACTACTACTACTATTGTTATTATTAGCTGTAGCAGAAATGTTTAATTCTTTGCAGTGTTAAAGAGTAAACGCATGATGTCACCGTCTACTACCTGTTCGAATAGCCATTCCAATATGCAGTCATGAATGGGTTTACATTATTTATACTGTAGTTTAATAGCAAATAATGAAAAAACAAAACACCACACTGAGTGGTGGGAGGGCTGGCTGCCAGTTGTGGGGGTCGGAGGGAGGGTAGTAGGGACTCGCAGGTGGCGGGAAACTTAAATATGATTTGGCGGCTGGGAATTTGGTGGCTGGGAATTTGGCGGTTGGGAATTCGTGAATGTGTGAAGCCCGTGAAAGTTGAAAACATGAATGTTGAGGGAGACCTGTACAGATGTTGAATTTTTCCACTTAATGTTAGGGATGATGTGTCAGCAGAAGCATCATTTGTGAATCCGTGTGCACAATTAATTTTTACGGAGGGCCCGTATCCACTGGGCACATAGTACTGTTCATAACCTCATCTGTTACTTCCTGTTTAAATGTTGAGTAATGTTGGCAACTATTAAGCTTTCAGGGCATAGTGTATGTAAGCTCTGACTTGTAGACTTACAGTTTTTAAGACAGTGACGTTCCTATTCTTCTTCGTCTTTGTCATTACTGTCATCTTATTTTGTTTGTTTGCTTGCTAAACATTTTTTTTTTTTTTTTTTTTTATCACACTGGCCGATTCCCACCAAGGCAGGGTGGCCCGAAAAAGAAAAACTTTCACCATCATTCACTCCATCACTGTCTTGCCAGAAGGGTGCTTTACACTACAGTTTTTAAACTGCAACATTAACACCCCTCTTTGCTAAACATGTATCAAGAAATGTGGAATTGTTTGCATTTTATATTGGGTTCACTGTACCATGTCTGGGAATACATCTATAGTACTCTATATAATTCAATGAGGATATTGTAGTTGAGAGGGTCATTATAACTGATATCACCACCCTTCTGGTAAGACCGGGATTGGATGAACGATGGTGAATGCATTTCTTCTTTTTTTTGGGGTCACCCTACTTCAGATGGAAATGGGAAGTACAGTGCCTGCACTTTAAGGAGGGGTTTGGGATATTGGCAGTTTGGAGGGACTTCTAAACTGTCATATCTGAGCGCCTATGCAAAAACAGTGATTATGTATGAGTGAGGTGAAAGTGCTGAATGATGATGAAAGTATATTCCTTTTTGGGATTTTCTTTCTTTTTGGGTCACCCTGCCTCAGTGAGACATGACCGACGTGTTGAAAAAAAAATCTGTGTATAAATTTTATTTTGCTTTCATGTGTTTACATTCTTCAGGATGTATTGCCGTCATATCCACTATCTGGGATGGTTAACAAACATGGAGGGAAGGTTCGACTCACATTTAAATTAGAGCTAGATCAGATATGGATTGGCACTAAGGAACGCACTGAAAAAATCAACATGAATCACATCCGGCAAGTTGTTTCAGAAGCAATAGAAGGTTATGAACAATATCACATTATGGTAAGTAAGATTTAAAGTGAACTTCAGTCTTTTTATCTAGTTTGGATCACAGTGACAGTTTTATAAAATTTTTAGCACTCTGTACCTGATAATTGTTTTAGGGCTAGAGCATAATCATCCAGCTTTGACTTTTCTCTCTTGCCTTTCCCTGCATATACCTTTTCCTGCTTGTTTAGTGCTGTGTGACCTATTTGGCTTAGCACTATACACAACTTTTATGTATAGTATTTGGTAGTGCAGGTGCTTTACTGTTGTAGCCTATGACAAGAAAAGTTCCTTCTGAAAATGATGGCTCATTATCACTGGGATATCCATATGTTTACACATGCTGAGAATTCCACTTAATTTTACTGTAAATACTTAAGTAAAAATAATAATAATAATGATAATACTCAAAGGGGAAGTGGAAAAGGATTCTTCCTTCCTCTGTAAACCTTGCGTGTTGTAAGAGCGTGACTCCACTGTGACATGACCTGATGCTTCACGCTTCTGCCTTGCCTCGTACAGAATTTTTCCCCTACTATCTGTTGCTAGTTTTGCAACATTGCATAGCTCCTGATGATGCATAGTGTGTGAAATATCTTAAGCTTAAGATTTCCTCCCCATGTAAGTTTATTCAGGTATACACAAATACAGTATCAAAGATTATCATACATAGCAGCATGTGTGTAGAGAATGTAGGATAACCCAAAAAAGCCAAAGTAACTTATTTCCATTTCTGCATCCATCATTAAGTATTAACTACTAAACATTAATTTATTTCACTAGCTGAATAACTATTTGTTACAGGGACTGCAGCTGGGGCCAACAGAAGCCTCACGCTACTGGATCTACTGGGTTCCTGCACAGTATGTTGATGCCATTAGAGACACAGTTCTTGGCAAGTGGTAATGTTAAGGGGACATTAGGGTTTTCATCACAAACACATTTTTATTGGTTCATCATGATCATATTTTCTGCCTTAGTAGGAGCAGATGGAACTTCAGGACCTTGCACTAAACATCCATGAGGTAGAAGGTTGGGAATGTATGCAATAGGAAGACTATACCAATATATTATCCTAAATGATATTGTGCTTTGCCTGTTATTTACCTTGTGAATCTTGCACTAATTTTCCAGCTGGAAGGACATAACTCCATTTTTCTCACTTTCTACCCACTTCAACTGCTTGAAATAGGAGCAGTTGTACCATGCAAGTTTTTAAAAATTGTAAGATCAAATGTTCATTATGTTATTGTTTAAAAAGTTGATATGGAGGCTAAAAGTTCCATCTGCAGTGCTAGGGCTACTATTGGCCATAAAAGAGGGTTGGAGGGAAAGTGATGTAAACTGTGTTAAGCATTGTGATTTTTCAGCAAGCTTTCTATATTTTTGTTGCTCATGTTATGTGAGAACTTAAATTAGTCTTAGAGCCAATATTTTTTATCACATGGTGCTTAAGAATAAATAGATTGATAACAAAACAAGGCTTCATCTAGTACAGTACAATAATCTAAAGAAAATGCGATAGGAGGAAGAGTAAAGATTTTTTACATGTTTTACGTACAACAGCTTTTGGTGGTTTATAAATGCAAGAAAAAGGATGGAAAACTATATAAAAAAAAATCACTACCAAATACCTGAGACAAATTTGTGTACCTAATTTTTCACTCATCTTTTAACTCACTCTTTGGAGTTCAAACATAAATTGCTTCTGAGCCAGTAAATTTGCCATTTTTGAGCTTTGTGAAATTTTTCAGAGTAACTTGCGCACATTTATACCTTACAAACACAGGCTTTTCACCCCCCCCCACCAGAGAACTTCTGAGAATCATTAAGTGCATTATTTTGTATTTAAGACTTAGTGTTATGAGCTATTGTTTTGTTATTTATAACTTTAGAAAGTTACCATACTGTTTTTTGAGGTGGATATTACAAAAGTAAGAGGAATATCTTACTGTAAGATAATATTGAAGTCTAGACTGTAATTGCCTTGATTTTCTCAAAATATGAATAGTCGGATTGGATATGGGCATTTTGAGAGATTAATATTTGAAGAAGGTATTGTAAGAAGTTATAAATAATTACAGAAAGGTATAGGAGAAAGTGCTAAAAAATTGGTAAAATGGAAAATAGGAAAGAGAAAAGCAAGAGCAAAACAGTTTGTGAAATAGACATTAGAGCTGGCAATGATAAAATATTCAGATAATAACACTAAAAATTTTTGTATAATGCTAATGTTGCTTTTCCTTTTTGTATGCTATACTCGCAGCAGCTGTGTCAGTAATTTGTATTTGTATTAGTAACTCACAAAAATACGTAGAATGTGTATTAATATACAGTATTTGGAAATGCAATATATTCTCGGTAATGCGATTTATGTAATTTTAATACTCAGTGTATTGAGATTAGGCATAGGATGAAGGTTCTTTCTATGGGTGGTTAGTTACCTGCCATTAAAAATTTTATCTGTATGTACAAATATTATTGAGACAAGAGGTCAGTCCTCTCCTAAGCATGAATCTTGTAGATGCCTAAGCATTTATTGTTAAATTTCATTGATGGAAGCATAGGCTGTGTGGATGCTGAAGTCCACTTTTTTTTTTTTCTTTTTAATACACTGGCCATCTCCCACCGAGGCAGGGTGACGTCTACTTATTGTTCGTTATTCAAGTTCTGTCATTGATGAATTGAGCCTATCATGTTGGATCACTTGTTGCATTACCATCCTAAGACAAACCTTGTATTATTATTGCATTTCATAAGTTGTATAACAGTTAGATGCTGGTACAAATTGAATATTGGCACATAATTTACTCAAATATACTATGCTGTAAGGAAGAAAATTTAATTTTAACTTTTTTTTTTTTTTTTTTTTTTTTTTAACTAGAATTTTGAATATTTATGGATGGGCATGTTGTTTTGTTACTAATGCTGGTTTAGTGAGTGAAACTGGATAGAAAAAGTGTATTTCTTGGTGTAATAAATGTGTTACATATTATATTCCAAATGTACTGTATATGACAAATCAGTTTTGTCAGAAGTGAGGTTTAGGACAGAAAAAAAATATCGACTGCAGAATTGTTCATCTGGCAGATTGGAGAGGGATTAAAAGCTAGATACTGGTACTAGTTCATACAAATACTTCATAAGACAATAGAAAGTGCTTGAATTCATTAACTATTTAAAATAAAATAATCAGTTTTGAAACACGGCCCAGAGGACTATCACAATAAAACTGGTCACATACTATGCTTTTGCAAATGGTACTAAGGTTTTGTTGATGTAAAAAAATTTAAAGGAATTTCTGTTGCAGCCTTTTGCAAAAATGCCCAGAAAGCTCTTAAAAAATTAAGTAAAAATAAATATGAAGCAAGAACAAGGAGATACCAATTTTTGACGAGAATTGGATCATAGTGTGTAGAGTATTAGTATGAGGAGATGGTTATTCATTAACACTTGTTTCAGTATAATACTTTTTTTTTATTAAAATCTACTGTATAAACATGGTAGCTTGTGATGGAGCTCCAACATGTGCAATGATTTCAGTCATAATTTACTCTAATTACTAATTACTCCAATTTACTCTAAGCCTTAACTTCTCATCTTCACTGAATTATCAGCACCTCAATGCCACTGTTGATTCTTTCTACAGTATCACTTGGATACAGAAGATTTAAGTAATAATTTTTAAATCTTCATGTATGTTTGAGTGTGTGAGTGCAGGCACTGTACTTCCTACCTCCAGAACTCAAGTCTGACTAAACAGTTTTCTTGAATCACCTTCACAAAATATTACCCTGTTCACACTCCAACAGTTTGTCAAGTCCCCAAAAGATTTGTGTCCACTCACTCCTATCTAATATGCTCACACATGCCTGCTGTATGTCCAAGCCCTTTGCATAAAAAACCTCCTTTACCCCATCCTCCATCTTTTTCTAGGATGACCCCTACCCCGCCTTCCCTCTACCACAGATTTATATACCCTCCAGGCCATCCTGTTTTGCTGTATCCTCTCTTAAATGGCCAAACCACCTCAACAACCTCCTCCTAATTTCCAAGCTATGAATTCTCTGCATAATATTTATGCCACACATTGCCCTCAGACACAATATCTCCACTGAGAAATAGTTATGCTATTTTGGTACTTGTTAAAAAACAACTGAAGGTGGTGAGACCCTGATGGAGCAGTCAACCCTTTAAGATTTGTTAGTCTCTTATCAGAGTGAATACCCTTCCCTCATATTATACCTAACTGTGATGCTTGTTGAACATGTCTCCTGAGTGTGCACATTTTTGGTGATGCCAGATACCAGGCAGAATAAGCCTTGTTTTTCACTTTTGTATTGTTAAAGTATGACTTGGACATGGTAAACAATGTCAAAGTACTGTAATTAGTTTGTCAAAAATGCAATAAATGAAATTTCGTTTGTATGCAAATGGTAAATACAGCGGTCTCTTCTTGTCATGGGAAATGGAACCCTCAACATCATTGCCTCTTATGGCAAGTTAATTTATAATTCTCATTGAACAGTGACATAAAACATCTATGCATTACACATTAAGGCTGTAGAGAATATGAAATACATAGAAGGTAATTGCTCTACATGTCATTGGTTGGAGAAAACAACCATCTCCTGTGATTATTCTTTTTTTCAAAGAATTACTCCTATTTTTGCACCTTTATATACATAATTGTCAAATGCACTTTGAAAAGAGTATGCGATTGCAGCTACTAGACAGACTAATAGTAATATTTGGTAAATAAGCAAATATGCCATTTATTTTTGTTTATATTTTTGAAAGATGAGAAAGAGAAATTTTAAGAACCAAAATTTACAAACACTCTTTAAAATAGGAACATGCATTTTTAATTTTTTATTGTGGATCATCAATAGACACAAACATTAAATTTTTATTTATTGAAAAACAGGAGTGTATTGCATTCATATTAAATTTAAGTTCTCTGGATTGCAAGTTTATGGCTTGTGTAGAATGTTGCATCTTTTTTTTTTTTTTTTTTTAATTTGAGAGCAATTCATGAAGATTTACGAAAAACTAGTAAAAAGATCTTCGAGAATTGCATCATTAAGCCTTAAAAGTCAAACTGTTAGTCTTCTCTAGAGGACTTAAGTCTGTCTTTTTTTTTGCTCAAAGGAATATTGGAGAGGTTATTTGATAGTATTGTATTGGCATAAATGTGAAACTGTAATTTCAGTCATTACAGCAGTGTATTTTGTTTCAGCCTTAGAGAAGTCTGAAAGAGTGTAGTATTGATTTCATTGACTTTTTTTTTCAGTACATAACACAGAACAGTAATTTCTCTTTGCAAGCTACAGTATTTAATTTGTTGTTTTTTCCTTTGTTAAATTTCTTATGTATTCTGTATATACACACATGCACACATGTACACTAAAAAAAAAAAAAACTTGCCATGCTTGGCATTCACCATTATCCTTGTGTAGCATATCGTATAGTTTTGATATTTTCAGATTACTGGGAAGGTTTCTGTGGCAATTGTTAAAATTATTTGTACAATAAAGAGATTTAATAATAATATATATAAATACTTTTTTCTGGTACAAATCAGAAACCCACACTGTAGAAAAACCAATAATTTTACAACTTGTGCATTGTAAAATGCAAAATATTCTTGAAAATTATTTGGAAAAGTAAAGCTGCAGTATATAATTTAAGAGTGATTCCTATATAGTGAATCACTGAAAATTGGAAGCTGTATTCATACTATCGTGTTTTAGTAACTTTTTTTTAACGCACTGGCTGTCTCCCACTGAAGCAGGGTGGCCTAGAAAGAAAAATTCAAGTTTTTCTTTTTACAATTAGTAATTTATACAGGAGAATGGGTTATCAACCCCTCGTTCCCATGTTTTAGTAATATGAATACAAGCACGTGACAATGAAATTACAGAGTCTTAATTAAAAGTACAGCCTCTCCTCATTTAACGATGGAGTTTTGTTCCTAAGACCGCAGCGCTGTATAGCCCTTGTGGCTTAGCGCTTCTTTTTGATTATAATAATAATAATGTTCCTAAGACCATGTCGTAAACAAATTTGTCGTTAAGTGAGGAAATACTATAATGGTAGTGGGTGTGTGTCAGCCATCTTTGATATAGTTTTAACATCATCTTGGCACCCTTATAACATTTCTGGTATATTTTTAAATGTTTATACAGTAGTGGACTGTATATTGTAATAAACAGAATAAAGGAAATCAGCTCTGATATACATTATTTAGGTATGCATACTAGTCAGAGAGCCCATCGTAAGTCCAAGTCATTGGTAAACGAGTACGTTGCTAGGTGAGGAAAAGCTGTATAATACCATTTGAGAAATTGTTAGTTAACACAGTGCAGTATTTGTGGTTAGTGCACTGATCTCTGCTGTGGTTGTTTCTTTTGCCTTCAGTTTTCAGGAGGAAAGAGTCTCTACCTCTGCCAAGTGGTGGATCACCCAGGCTGTGACGGATATGTGAACTGCATGGCTGCCAACAGCAACAGCCTGGTTGAGCAGGCAATCCACAGAAAAACTTGACCTCAGGCAGGGCTACAAGGGTAGGGAAAACACAAAACTGCTCACCTTTAAACTATAGGTATCCTACTACTGAAGTGTGTTCTCTTTAAGAGCTAATCATTTTAGGAATTATATACCCTCCAGTGTGGTTCTTTGATGCTAGTAAGGGGCTCATGATCCAAGGAATTGGGCTTGCCCTCCACATTCCTCCCTGCCTCGGGTAGTCTGACACTGGGTTTAGGGCTTCTTCCTAATTTTTTTTTTTTTTCAACACGTCGGTCATCTCCCACCGAGGCAGGGCGACCCAAACAGAAAAATACTTTCATCATCATTCAACACTTTCACCTCATTCATGCATAATCACTCCTAAATATTATTATTATAATCAAAAAGAAGCGCTAAGCCACAAGGGCTATACAGCACTCCTAAATATACCGGTAATAATAATTTAGGAAGTACATTATAATCAAAACAAAGTGCTAAACCCACAAGTTTCATATAGTGCTGCTTTGTGAACTTTATAATAGTGTATTGATAATTGATTATTTTGTAGTTTTCTTTGTCAGCTTTGTTTCATCTTAGATTTATCATGAAACATCATGCCTTATTGCAGAAGAAATCATGCCCATATATATGATAAAAATTTGTTTAATTTTGGCTTATACAATCATATTTTGATGAATGGATTGTTAGCCAATTTTTTGTCTTATAAACTTACAGGATTAGAGCGATGTCAATAGTAATATCAAACTAAGCGCTAAACCCAGAAGGGTTATAAAGCGGTGAGAGCAATGTATACAATATGAAAATTAGTGCGCTGGTTCAAATATAAAACAGGTAGAATTCTATACATATTATTATTACAATCAAACCCCTCAAGGAAGGTTCCTTGATGCTGATGAGGGGCTCTTGATCTAGGGAATTGATCTGTACTCCAGTTCCCTGAATTAAACCTGAATACTTTCCACATTCCCCCACAGGTGCTGTCTAATCCAACAGGTTTAGCACTTCCCCCTTGATTATAATAATAAAATTATGATCAAAACTTAAGTGCTAAGCAAATAAGGGTCATACAGAATTCTATACATAAAAGTGGGATGTAGGTATTTACTTCAGTTGAAGACCCTTGTCAGTTTAGCGCTTATTATTACATATAATCAAAACTAACAATACTTCAGTCGGCGATGCTTAGTTACTTTGTTCTGAGTGATTCGAGGTTTTAGTGCTTTCTGTGAATGTTATTACAACAACTGACTTACTTCACAAATTCTGATACCTTCAGCCCTTTCTACTTTAATCTCTTGCTACCCTCTACCCCCGTACTATCCCCTGCCCCGCTGTTTTCTGTAACCGGCTGATCATCCCTCCTCCCTTCTGCCATCCAATACCCTCGCTTCCTTCCCTACCCTGCAGCGCTGTATAGCCCTTGTGGCTTAGCGCTTCTTTTTGATTATAATAAATGTGAATGTTATTACATTCGTACCCCTCAACCGAGTGCTTGGAGGAATGGGAAGCAATCAGGCTCTATCCAAGGAAAGGTACAATAGGTCCAATTCTTTTGAACAAAAGTCCCACGTTGGTATAAGGCCACCTCTGTTGAGGGTCATGAATACTGTAAGCAGCTAAATTCCGAATGCTGTGAGCTGCTTAAACAATATATTTAGTAAGTTACATTTCGATTTTTTTGAAGCTCTATCCATCCACTTCAAGAGGTTTGCCTTAATGCTGGTGAAGGGTTCTTGCTCCATAAAATTAAACCCACTCTTTCCATTATCTGATCAAACATGATTACCTTCCATACTTAAAGTGCTGCATGACCCTCCCCCATGAATACAATAATATCAATAATACTGTAGCTGCTGGTGCAATGGTGTAGCAAAATATTTCAGTGACTCAAAGTGTGCCTCATCTGCAGGACTCAAATTTATAATCCCACCTGCCAGAAATCTGCTTTTCTTACTCTTCACCCAGGGGACAATAACTTGCTGTTGGTGAAGAGCTCCTTATCCAGTGAATTGGAGTTACTCCAAAATTTTCAAGTCTTATTCCTACATATATGTTCTCAATATAAAAGAACAAAGTATATTACAAAAAATCAGAAGGTAAAAAACTATTTTAATACAAAACAATACAGCCATTCAAAATACAGCTTCTTGATCATCACAGATAGTAAGACAGCATCATTTGTAAACTGTAGGTTCTTGTTAAAGCAATCACACAAACTTTGGTTTATCAGCCAAAGATAAGCTTAAAAAAAATGATGAAGATGTTTACAGGAATAAGCGGATCTGAAAAGAAAAAGAAAAACCAGTCATATACAATATAAAATACCTGAAAAGAAATTAAATGCTTTTTAGTAGGTAATTTGCTAATGCAATGATAATGCACAGTACTGTATGACCCTTATGGGTTTAGTGCCTGGTTATGATTATATTATTATTATTATTATTATAATCAAGGGGGAAGCGCTAAACCCGGAGGATTATACAGCGCCTGGGGGGGGGGGATGTGGAAGGCATTCAGGCTTAATTCGGGGAACTGGAGCACAGATCCAATTCCCTAAATCAAGAGCCCCTCACCAACATCAAGGAACCTTCCTTGAGGTGGGTTATGATTATAATAAAATAATATTAACAAATGATAATGCAATACTATGGTCATATTGTAGCTCTAATTCCAACTGTCCCCCCCCCCCCAAAAAAAAAAAAATCACTGTATACTGCAACAAATAAATGTAGTACTGTAAGGAAATTATTACTCAATTAACTTTTCAATTACTGAAAGTGGAAAACTTACATTTCATTACTGTCTTGATGGAACGAATAAAGTGAAAAATCTGCGTCTTGACTCCTGGCTCTTCGCCAAAGCCATGTACATGTGATCCACCCCATCCTGGTACTGAAAGAAAATTTTCATTCAAAAGCTTAGAAAGCACAAACATTTTAGGACCTACGAGTTGTTTTTGATAGGATTTTACTCTCAAAACTTCATTAGGTGGATAGGAGGTCAGGAAAAATTACAATTTTACATCAGCAAAACCTTTTCAACCACATACCCAATTAAAAATTGTTTAATTTAATGTTTTGAACTTCACCCCCAACTAGTTAATATAATTTAAAATAAAATTAATTTACAGGGACTAATTCAGTTTTTAAATACATATATTTTGCCAATTGTAATCACAAGTCAACAATAAAATTTAAATAGATTATTGTACTGTGCTAGTAACAATGGAGAAAATTTATATGCCATATGAATAATACAGTTATAACTATAATACTCTAATTACAAAACCAATTTAACAAATAACACTATTTTGAAAATACACTGGGATACCTTTCAATAAAAAAAAAAGTTCTACAAACCCCCACATAATGCAAAGCAATTTAATCATGATTAAAGTTAAAAACCATAAAAGTTATATGCAATTCTCACAGCTATTATGCACATAGTGACTATGTCTGTCTTGTCATTTGCGGTAGTTTCTGACTTTCAAAGATTGCTACAACTTATCCAGTAATGCAACTCGCCTCATCCTACTGTTCTCCATATACAGCTGTATAGCCCTTGTGGCTTAGCACTTCTTTTTGATTATAATAATAATCTCCATATACAACTTTGGCTATGTTGCATTTCTAGTTAACACAAAGAAATCCTTTTTGGCTGGATCCCTGGACACACTGATGTTCAGGGTAATGAACATGAAGACTCGGCCTCTCAATCACCTATTATGCTGATGAGGGGCCCTTGATCTAGGGAAATGGACCTGTGCTCTGGTTCCCTTTATTAAGCCTGAATACCTTCCATCCCCCCACATGTGCTGTATAATCCTACGGGTTTAGCGCTTCCCTGTGATTATAATAATAATCACCTATTCATGACCTAGTTTTCTGCAGTTGTGTTCCTTTCTTTAACTGCTTTTCAGTACTCTCTCAGCAATTGCTGGCAACAACATTGGTCAGAGTTAGAATGCAATTAATGGCTTTCAAACAGATAATGATTAGGAGTCTGGCTATCTCCCCACTGTCTGGTTTTGGAGAGTGCACTCGCATACTTACAAATCGGACATGAGACACATGTGGTTACCACGTGGAGACACGATCAGCACTACTCTCCAAGGACTGCTGAGCTGCACTGTCAGTCCACCATATCTAAACAGACTATCCTAAATAACAGCAGGTATGCAGGATTTACTTCCAACATCAACAACACTAACTGATCTTGCAGAAAGCCCCACCACTGATGCAAACTCTTACTTTTTAATGGAAACTATCCTACTGCACTATGATTTAAAGTTTACACTCTCACTAACCCCAACAACTCCTATTCCTAGCATACCCCTAACCACAGTGCTGTATAACCCATTCAGCTTGAGCATATAAAAAGAGTCACTGACTTTTTTTTGGGGGGTTATCCTAGATAATTTACACTATGCATGATAATTGAACTTATGCATACCTGTGCCCAAATAAACTTACAGTAAAGTGCATACATAATACCAGTTCAAAGGCCAGAAATTTAGCCTTCCTTGGGTACTTGAATCAAGATCCCCCACTAAGCAACCTTCCTTAAGGGATTCTTGAATTAAGATCCCCTAATCAGCACCAAGGAACCTCCCTGGAGGAAACCTTGAATCAATATCCCCTCACCAGCATCAAGGAACCATCCGTGAGGTATCCCTGAAACAAGATCCCCTCACCAGCATCAAGGAACCACCCGTGAGGGTTTACGAGAGTAGGAAGCCCTATTAAGCACTCAAGACTTATCATTACACAGCAGGAGAATACAGATGAGCTGTGTACTCACATTTAGATAAGAATCTCTCTTCATTAAGGATACAAACAGCATTAACACAGAGAACTATGGCCTCCACCAGACTGAACAACCCAAACGCCATCGTGGATGTAAACAAACAGTGGTGATACACCTTCTCAAACTTAACACATAAACTAATACATCTTTACATTTTTATTTACTACAAACATCGTAAATAATATATTTAATGTATATAATATAAATATATATATTATATTTATGTAATATATATAATATAAATGCTGAATTACAGAAAATATCTACCTGGATAACGACTAACAAACTTACTCTCAATATTGACAAAACCTACTTCATTCAGTATGGAAAAAGAACTACAAATGTTCCACTTAACATAATGATAAATGGATCACCTGTCACAAGACTCAAAGAGGGAAAATTCTTAGGAATCCACCTTGACAGTAACCTCAAATTTCAGACACATATACAACACATCTAGAAAATCTCTAAGACAGTAGACATACTATCAGAGATATGGTACTATGTTCCACAACTAGGTCTCCTTGCACTGTATCACTCAGTCATTTACCCTTATCTCACCTATGGAATTTGTGCATGGGGATCAACAACAATAAATCATCTCAGACCACTAATAACCCAGCAAAAAGCTGCAGTCAGAATGGTAACAAATTCCCACTCCAGACAACATACTCCACCAATATTCAGAAGTCTAAACTTACTCACCATAGAGAACATCCATACTTATTATTGTGTCTACTACGTATATAGAACACTACACTCAAATATAAACCCTCCACTCTTATTATTGTGTCTACTACATACATAAGATAAGATTTCGTTCGGATTTTTAACCCCGGAGGGTTAGCCACCCAGGATAACCCAAGAAAGTCAGTGCGTCATCGACGACTGTCTAACTTATTTCCATTGGGGTCCTTAATCTTGTCCCCCAGGATGCGACCCACACCAGTCGACTAACACCCAGGTACCTATTTGCTGCTAGGTGAACAGGACAATAGGTGTAAGGAAACGTGTCGGAATTTCCACCCGCCGGGAATCGAACCCGGGCCCTCCGTGTGTGAAGCGGGAGTTTTAGCCACCAGACAACCAGGCCACCACCGGGCCATAGAACACTACACTCAAACATAAACCTTCCACTCAAACTTCTCCTTACCAACCTTAACAAGACACAACCATCTCACACTATGTAAAAACTCTATGCACATGAAGGGCCCAAAAATTTGGAATTCATTACCAGCGAATACCAAAGTAACCTTGTCTGTACATCAAGACTTCTGAAATACCACCTACTCACCAAAAACTAAATACTCAGTACTGAACCTTACCAACAAAGCCGCCAAGTCACTCTCCACAGCCTCAGACTCACAACCCCAAAAGCAAATGCTCAGAGTACAATAAATTCTCATACTTTAACGCAAATATTTGAAAGCAATTGTTGAATAGCATATATTTGACATAAGTATAACCTGTTGTATGATTAGTGTAACCTGATCAAATTATGTTTTGTATATCTAGTGTTAAGTAATCAGTAATATTTTAAGTTTAAACTGCCCGTAATACCAAGGCATGATAGTGGCTCTATGTACTGCTACTTATTGTAAACTCTCACTGTAAACTATGTATATATGGTTCCTACAATATGTCAACCACACTGTAAACTTGCAAGCAAATAAAAAATCTGAATCTGAATATATATATATATATATATATATATATATATATATATATATATATAAAATATATATATATATATATATATATATATATATATATACTCAGTCCAGAGGGCTGAGGAAGGGTTGTTGAGGTGGTTCGGACATGTAGAGAGAATGGAGCGGAACAGTGTGACTTCAAGAGTGTATCAGTCTGTAGTGGAAGGAAGGCGGGGTAGGGGTCGGCCTAGGAATGGTTGGAGGGAGGGGGTAAAGGAGGTTTTGTGTGCGAGGGGCTTGGACTTCCAGCAGGCATGCGTAAGCGTGTTTGATAGGAGTGAATGGAGACAAATGGTTTTTAATACTTGACGTGCTGTTTGAGTGTGAGCAAAGTAACATTTATGAAGGGGTTCAGGGAAACCGGCAGGCCGGAATTGAGTCCTGGAGATGGGAAGTACAGTGCCTGCACTCTGAAGGAGGGGTGTTAATGTTGCAGTTTAAAAACTGTAGTGTAAAGCACCCTTCTGGCAAGACAGTGATGGAGTGAATGATGGTGAAAGTTTTTCTTTTTCGGGCCACCCTGCCTTGGTGGGAATCGGCCAGTGCGATAATAAAAAATAATATATATATATATATATATATATATATATATATATATATAATATATATATATATATATATATATATATATATATATATATATATATATGCAGGACAAGCCACGGGATGAACAATAAAATGGTATAAAATACCGACAGGTTGTTAGGTAAGACACATGCAACAGTTAGGTATCTTTATTTCGAAACGTTTCGCCTACACAGTAGGCTTCTAACATCCCTGTGATTCATCTGTGTCTTCAACTTCCAACTGTGTCCCCTTGTCACTGTGTCCAATCTCTGGAACATCCTGTCTTTGTCCACCTTGTCAATTCCTCTCAGTATTTTGTATGTCGTTATCATGTCCTCCCTATCTCTCCTGTCCTCCAGTGTCGTCAGGTTGATTTCCCTTAACCTCTCCTCGTAGGACATACCTCTTAGCTCTGGGACTAGTCTTGTTGCAAACCTTTGCACTTTCTCTAGTTTCTTTACGTGCTTGGCTAGGTGTGGGTTCCAAACTGGTGCCGCATACTCCAATATGGGCCTAACGTACACGGTGTACAGGGTCCTGAACGATTCCTTATTAAGATGTCGGAATGCTGTTCTGAGGTTTGCTAGGCGCCCATATTATTATTATTATTATAATCAAGGGGGAAGCGCTAAACCCGGAGGATTATACAGCGCCTGGGGGTGGGGGGGTGGAAGGCATTCAGGCTTAATTCGGGGAACTGGAGCACAGATCCAATTCCCTAAATCAAGAGCCCCTCACCAACATCAAGGAACCTTCCTTGAGGGGAGGCGCCCATATGCTGCAGCAGTTATTTGGTTGATGTGCGCTTCAGATGTGCCTGGTGTTATACTCACCCCAAGATCTTTTTCCTTGAGAGGTTTGAAGTCTCTGGCCCCCTAGACTGTACTCCGTCTGCGGTCTTCTTTGCCCTTCCCAATCGTGTGTGTGTGTGTTTGTGTGTGCGCGCGCGCGCGTGGAAGGGCTCACTAGGTTAGACCTCTGCAACTAATTATAAGCGAGTATAGACAGGCATTATTTTATATATTGATTTGAATTTCATGACCTCATGCATTGCGGTAGAGGAGGCTGGGCTTACAGGATGCCATTCTAGGACGGCAGAACGAAGGAAATAAACCTAATTTATGCAACGAACACTTTCTACCAACACCTTCCCTGACGCCCTCTCAGGGACGACTGAGCTCCGCCGTCACTGTCAACTAGTTTTGTATTTGTTAACGAATCGATCTCCCACCTTTAAGGCTCGTGGTGCTCCCTGATTGGTCGACGCCGCCCCTATGCTAGAGACTCCTCTGACGGTGATTGGTGGAGGCGCGCCCCGCTCTGCATGTTGAGGAACCATGGGTCATATTTCACATGTTAGTATAAAATATTAACATTGGTAGCATGTTAGTCTCCTCCTCCTCCTCCTCCTCCTCCTCCTCCTCCTCTCATCAACTTCTCTCACTGACAAATATTTGCTCGCCATGAATGTTGCAACACAGCAGCGGCGCCATTAATACCATAGCCAGCTGCAACATGAGAACATGACGCCCAAGCAACAATGCAATAGACCTACTGAATATAGAAAGGATATAGGGAAGCACAGCTTTAGCAACAGAGTTGTAGGAGCAAATTCCAGAGCAGCGTCACTGAATCTACAATCTTAATAATAATAATTATAATCATAATCATAATCATGATTATAATAATCAAAATAATTACAATAATCATTACATTATTATTATAATTATAATTACTATAATCATTATAATGATGTTAGGCACAAAGGCAGGAGCACTGCAGCAGGCGTACTGGCCCATGCTACATGAGTGGATTACCTGGAGGTTACCTGGAGGTTATTCCGGGGATCAACGCCCCCGCGGCCCGGTCCATGACCAGGCCTCCCGATGGATCAGGGCCTGATCAACTAGGCTGTTACTGCTGGCCGCACGCAGTCCAACGTACGAGCCACAGCCCGGCTGATCCGGCACTGACTTTAGGTATCTGTCCAGCTCTCTCTTGAAGGCAGCCAGGGGTTTATTGGCAATTCCCCTAATGCTTGATGGGAGACTGTTGAACAGTCTTGGACCCAGGACACTTATGGTGTTTTCCCTTAGTGTATCAATGGCGCCCCTACTTTTTATTGGGGGCATTTTGCATCGCCTGCCCAGTCTTTTACTTTCGTAGGGAGTGATTTCTGTGTGCAGATTTGGGACCATTCCTTCCAAGATTTTCCAAGTGCAGATTATGATATATCTCTCCCTCCTGCGTTCCAACGAGTACAAGTCAAGTGCTTCCAAGCGTTCCCAGTAGTTAAGGTGCTTGACAGAACTTATACATGCAGTAAAGGATCTCTGTACACTCTCTAGATCTGCGATTTCACCTGCTTTGAATGGAGATGTTAATGTACAGCAGTATTCCAGCCTAGAGAGAACAAGTGATTTGAAAAGGATCATCATGGGCTTGGCATCTCTCGTTTTGAACGTTCTCATTATCCATCCTATCATTTTCTTTGCACGTGCGATCGTGGCACTGTTGTGATCCTTGAAAGTGAGATCCTCAGACATTACTACTCCCAGGTCCCTTACATTATTTTTCCGCTCTATTGTATGGCCGAGTCAGTAGTATACTCTGTTCTAGTTATTATCTCCTCCAGTTTTCCATAACGGAGTAGTTGGAATTTGTCCTCATTGAACATCATATTGTTTACCGTTTGCCCACTGGGAAAACTTTGTTTATATCTTCTTGGAGGTTAACCGCGTCCTCAGCAGATGACAGCCTCATGCAGATCCTAGTATCATCCGCAAAGGATGATACGGTGCTGTGATGTATATCTCTGTCTATGTCTGATATGAGGATAA